CAATAAGTCATTAATATCGAACGGTTATATTGATCACCGGCCTTCCTTTTTTACAAATTTCTTGAGACCAGTGACCGCCAATCTTTTCTTGGGAAACGGAAACTGCGAAGATCTCACGATTTACAACGAATTTCGTATGAAACTATTAAAACTAAATATGCGAATTTAAATAAACAGATTACGACTGTCTTTTCGCATTTCTTGCACCAAGTGGATCAAGAGGGAAAACCGCAATAGTGCGACAAATAACCGGGAAATTAAAAAATTTAAAACTCATTATATAGTATACTGTTAAATTATCGCGGGTAACCCGAAAACAAGGTGCTCGCGGACACGTGGTTGGCGATCCCTGATACAGACGTAATAACCCAGTGAAGCGAACCACGGTGTAAGACGGACACACAAAATGGTTGCGCCGCCGTGTCCAGGTGATTTCGCGTCGAATTTCTGGTGCTCGAAGTAACATCCTTCGGTATTCCTCCGTCGGCGTCATCAACCGCTGCTCCACATCCACTTGTAGCAAAAGAAATCCCGTATGTAGTTCTCCATCGACAGGTTTATTCCATGATTTTTGTGATAAACTGTTATGCATTTGTCCTAGTTAAACATAACGGGGAAAAATATGTTATAATTTGCTGTCGGTCGTTACTAAAGTGTGTTATAACATCAGTTTACCCGACACCTCGGAGCTCAAGAGATTTCGGAGTTTGGCTGACGTTTGGAACGGATGGTGTGAATTGGCCATCAATCAAGTATACAACAACTTAATCATTTAAAGCGTAGACGAAATTATATATATATCTACATTTTTTAATTGAACGGGTTCCGTATAATTATCTCAAAAAACAACAATTATTATTAACCAGCTGATATTTGTAACGATGACAGGACGATTTCTTTACGGTGCAAACGGATTTCTTAAATATTTCATACGCGAGCTTCGGCCTCAGAGGGTTAAATAGCCGAAAGAAATAGCCAAATATGTTTCACGCTTTTTATATCAACAAAGTTTAAGTCCGAAATCAAATTAGCACGAAATGGTATTAATAGTTGATGAACATATTTTAGTCTACACCGCTACTTCATAATCCTCGTCCCTGAAGAAAGAATTAACAGGTAAAAATTCAAGAACTAAAAATGCATGTACTTGCTTCTCCGAACAATATGAGGTGCCTAATTTTAGTTCGAAAATGTAACATTTTTAATATATGGTTTTCAAGTCTCATCTTTGAAGTATTTCGGCACACAGCAAACACTTTATCCGTACGAAATTCGAAGTCAGAATATAGAAAATACATGGCCATATTTCTATTTTGTGATAGCCAACAGTTTGAAAATTAATAGTTACCTAATTGTATGGTAGAATCTTAACATTCACTTTTGATTTAATAACGAGCTAATTAACTACGCTAATTAAAATGCAATGGTACTTTACCAAACGAATAAACGAAGTTGCTTCAGTTGAAGTTCAAAATTTCCCACATAAAACTTTCAAGTTCGAATACAATTTCATTCTTACCAATACAATACTTACAACACTGCATAACATAAATTAACAACTTCTGGATAAAATTAAAATACACGAATTCTAATAACACAAACATTAAATTATTTACACAATCTACACACGCAAAACGCTTTAAGTTACAATTTTCCATGAAAACCTATTATGTACACGGGAATTAAGCACGTACTTATGCATAAAACACGTTAAAAATACAACACAAACACACGAACACACATAAATCTACGCTGAATTCAGTAAACACGGATTTAATACAGTCGAAAGGCCTTACAAGGCGAAGAGGCGATGTCACGACTACCACGTGGAGCAGACAGGATGCCTGTACCCTGCCCGGCAAAGGGAAGGACGTATCAGAGGAAGAGGGACGTAGACACACAGCGCACACACCGGACAGACAGAGGTTCAGTTCTCAGTCACGGTGCGCGCATGATCCACTAACCATGATCTGCCGCCCTATAGTCCCTGAAGCCGAAAAAGAGGCTGCAATGCCAATCGGCAATTCATATTAGTGATCTGCGTGTAACTGTGCATTCGTCCCCTGACAAACCCTTTACAGCCCAATGGTAACTGCTGCCTCAACACCCATTAAGTCTTCGTATTTTATTTATGGGTTTCTTATGATTCTCGCTGCGAACTGGGATTATTTCCTTGAACAGCATCAACAAGTTGATTTTTGATATGGACTTTGTTTGTTTCTTTCCCTTTGCAGTACAAACTGAATTCTAGGCCCGTCACCTAGTTACCAGACACCAGGTCCTATTGGGCCTGCACCGACAAATAATACATTAAACATCCACCTCGTTCTAGCAGACAGACGTAAAACTCTACATCAAATTCATTTTGATTCCTAAAATCACGTACGTACTGTACACATCCAACCCACGCACGAATTCTGGCACACTCCCACTCACGTGTGTCAACGCAGATTGACCAGGGTTGTCCACATTTACTATGCTGAAGGTCACATTCGTCCTTTCTTATCGACTCTCAGTCTGCAACGTGTGGACAATTTGCTGAGAATGCTGTTAAATTAGGCTCACATTGCAAACAGTTTCGCGTATTACACTACTCGATGTGTCGACCAGCGACAGAGTTTGGCTTAAGAGGTTACGATTATGGCTGGATCAATAATGCCTCTTGAAACACGTACTTTTAACTTTGGTTCACTCTAGGAGCAAATGCGTTTTATTTCAAGTAAACTGTTTAGAACTTAATTAATTACGTAATTAATTTGCTTTGTTCACATCACATTAATTAATACAAGGTAAAAGAATGAAGCATTTAATCCCTCTGGGAGATAATTACGAATCTCTGGGCAGAACTGTGATATGGTGGATGTACTCGGGTCGTAATTAAAAGCGTAGCTTATAATATAAACATGGGGTAAGAAGAAAGATTAATAACGACGAAGAAAACGTTAACAAGAAAGAAGGAGAAGAAAACGCATAGCTTTCAATCTGCAACACACTTCGAACAAGGAGTCTCAAACATTTAATAAACCAGTTCCCGTATTCCGACAAAAATTTTAAATTTTTATTTGTAAATTTCTTGTGTTCTCCGTGCGAACATTTTCGGTATAATATTTTACTATTCTGATAATACTATGTGGTAAAATAAAAGTATTAGGTCGTACCTGCGTTTAAATAAGCACTACGCCATGAAGACGTATGGGAGAGTGTAGATCCACGTATTTTTCGCTTGTACACGCCAAAGCAATTCCACCCATTTCCTGGCAAAACTCCGAAAGAAAACTTACCACAACTTCCATATTTCCAAGTGACCCCATCATAAACCATTATTGTTAGCGGGTGTAATTGCCGGGATTAAAATAACTTTGTCGACGTGTATTTTTACGGGGATGTGCAGACACCAGCAAAGGCTCCTTTCTGATATTTTCATTGCCGGACTTATTGTGCAAAAGATCACACCCAAGTTAAAATCAACGCAAAAAAAAAATTCATTCTACGTATAAATTCCACATTTTATGTATTGAACTTCGTTGCCCGCATACAGACCAAATTTTGTCGAAATTGCCCGCACAACAAAAAAATGTTGGGCAGGCCTAGTCAAAATTCTGAATGTTCTAGCATTTCAAGTCAAAGTTGATTAAAACTGTAATACAATTTATTGAAGCATTATCTTTCCAACTCGCATTGCAAGTACAACATTTATAAAATTCCTTTTTAAACTTAATCAGATGTTAAAACATCTTCACGATGGCTGAACCGAACGCCTGACTGCAGACTCCCGCCAGACCCGACCATTGGCGCTACCAGTCAATTTGACTTCAGTAAGATTAGTGGATGAGTCGTATAAATTATGAAGAACCTCTTTATTCAATAAATTAAAATCGTGCTGAAATTAAGTCCCCGCAAGAATAGGCTCGTGAGACTACACGGGCACACGCATCATGATAGCGCCTGCGGATTCTGCAGCAACTCTTACACATCCATTAACGTAATTATATTAAAAGCGAGCAAGATAAAACAAAGAGATCCAGCAGACACGGCATTTCCGACACATCAGCATCTAATTCGGCTTCCCTCAAGGGCACTTCGTATCTGTGAAACCTACGCATTTTCATGTAACATTTATTTAAATTGAAACTTACGTTTCACGTACAGCGGAAGTCACTACTAACGAAATTATAAAGTCCAAAAAAAACTCATATCGAAAGTAACGACGTTAAAACTTCTATTTTTAAGGTAATAAAACACTAAATTCATTACACGCCACAAATATAAACATAGTTTATAAAATTATTTCAGACAGTTTTCACGTCAAAGGCTAAGTTTCAACATAGTTTATAAAATTCAAACAGTTACTTCTAAGAGTTTCAGCAAATAGTTTTCCCTCACAGGTAACAGCACAATCGATAACATTTTTATTCAACACTACAGCAGTAACACGTTTATTTTTATCCGTGAATATGCGTTAAACTTTATTAAACTAATCATCAATAAATAAATCGACAGAGAAAATTTTGTTCCTGTTGTAAACCTGCTTTTGACAGGTAATTACAATAAAAACAAAAAATCCACCATATAAACGGAGCGTAACCTCGAGACACCACATGCAAATGCCTCAGCGATATTCCCTAAATTAAACACGTGAGTACAAAAAGGCCATTTTAGTTGGTATTTTCCCGTGCTAACATATAATTTATAATCTATCACTAAATATCAACGAATTATATTTAATAGCTAACAACAGCTTCCACGTGACGCAAATTGCTTACCCCAAGTGAGGTCAATAAACACATTTTGAAACCATACGCCCACTGCTGCTAACTTTTGCGAGTGAATGTGAAGCAGCAGTGGTATGATACTGACGGGAGAAAGTCGAAGGAGTCTGAGAAAAAACTGTCCCAGTGACACTTGTCCGTCACAAAACCGACACGTACAGGGTCAAAGCGGTAGGAAGCCGACGACTAACTTGAGATAAGGTTACAAATCAGTCCGCTCAGCATACATACCTGCTTCTACCGCCAACAGCTCAGCAGCCACGTCATGAAACGTGAGATAATCCATACTCCAATCCCAAAAACGCCTTCCATGTTCAGTGCTATATTTATAGCCTCTGTCCTTGAACAAACACTAAAACTCTTCTTGACAAATATGACAAGAGTTCCTCCACATTTACTTCACAAACGTTTACAACAGTCACAAACAAAAGTTTTCTTAAAACCCTAGCTTATTCCAGCACTTCATATTCACTGGGTGCACACAAACACACTGCCTGCCTGCTAAAAGAATATGTCACTTTTTTCGGCGGATGAAAGAGATGTGGGGATTTTAAACATTAATGTTATAGCCACATAATTATGAGCTTAATAATTTCTAACCTTCATCAAAATTACTTGGGTGATCAAATGAAGTGGAACGAGGTCGGTGGAACACTACCAAATTGCGGCTGAGATTGGATACCTAAGTGCAGATGGGAGGATAATATTAAAATTTTCTTAAATAAATTTGTTATGAGAATTCGGACTGGATTTATATGACTCATGACCGGAACCAAAGTACAGAAAATTCCGGTAAATTGGCCCATTGATTAATCGGGGCAGTCGTTTATTTGGGACAAAGTGTTCTAGTCCCGATGTGTCCCAACGAACCGGAATATGAAAGTGACTGCTACTATTCGATAAGAAAGACGGTATCTTCTCAAAATTGTTCCAGTGATTTTATTTCGCAGCCGGTTAATAAATTCATACGCACGATCGTATCACATTAAATTTTAACGTCATAATCCAAACTTCCTTTCCTTGGCTCTACTGCCCCATTCGAACCTTGTCTTCTTTCGGTTAATCTAATGATTGGTTCTCGAGTCGTTTTCTTTCCAGCTGCGTAGGTCACGTAGCTGCAAATGACGGTGTGCAAGAACGATAAATTCGACAGTATGTGTAACGAACCCCATATTGGCCTATTTTACGGCATAATCCCAACATTTTGTTCGGAGGACGGAAGAAAATCAAAAAAATCTCACTGAAGACAGCGGATGTACGTATTTTTTGTGTATTATTCTTCACAAAGAATACTAAAAAAATTTTGTGTAATTTATTTCTGCTTATAGAATATAATCTTTAAACAAATATTTTCATTATTTCAGTAAATGATTTATAGACTCGAATTCAGAAAATACATTATTCTACATATTCACGGAAAATAAAAACCTATCTTTTGCTGGAAAATCAAACCGAAATATAGGCAGTAGACAAAGGAAAGTTAGTGTCCATTATCAGAGTGTATGCAGGTGAACCACAATCTCCACGGAAGGCATGAGTGCCCATTTAGACACGGGACTACTACTTAAAATGAACTGTATAGTAAAATTACAGAAATTAATAAAACATGGTGGTAAAATTCGGTAAACGACTAGAAATATCACAAGGAACGATCTGAACTGTTCACTTATAAGCAATCTGTATCTAACAACTCTTCAACAGCAAATCAGTAACCCTACCAACATAACTTTTTCCCAGGCAGATTGTGTTTACTTCACTATTAGCTTAAAATCAGAAATGCTTGTAAATGGCAAATGCAACTGTTTCATTATGAACATGATTATAAAACGCAGGCAGGTAGATAGATATTCTTCACAACTTTAAATAAGTACGGACAAATACTAAACTTTACTACACACGCGAATTCCAAACTACAGCACAGACGCTACTTAACCCGACCAATGGATGTGTCACAGACGTCAAACTTCCTGCTTCAAAAACAAGAGACAGTCGTGGTCAGAACCAGTTGGTTATCTGTGGTCACAACACGTGGAAACGAAACAAAAACAGGCCGAGGGTGCGTTCCAATCACCCGTTTCAATGCGAAACAAGATTGTTGCGCTGTCAATTCCCCCATGACAAAACTCCGCAACATTATGAAGCACCCATTACATACCACAGAAACAAATTATACAGACCTCCTGCTTTATTCTCCCCTGACGTGCCGGACGAATTTATGCCCAAAAACGGATTATCCTGAGGTTTAGGTTTCTCAGGAAAACGGTAGTGCCACAAAAGAAGTCACAACAGCAGCCCTCCACATCAAACTCCACTCACCATTCACAATTAACCTCCAATTTGAAACTGTAGGCCTGTTACCCACACACACTAAAGAAAATGTTAAAGAATATACTCATCTACAAGGAAGTGCTTACCCATCCATGGGAGACAGTTCTTCGTTCAATATCCTCAAATGCGGGCAGCCAAAAACTGGTAACCCTGGCACAAGTCACCAGTGATGCAGCAGCAACTTACTATGTGTGTTACTGTGGTGGTTTCCTTCCAACTCTCTCCCAGTTTTACATGTAATTTTTGTATCTTTCCATGGATAAAGGACTGGCAGAGAGGCCATCATTTTAAGAATGTACTTTGAAGGCATGTAAGCATAAAGTCTTCTCAGTGCTGCCACATTCTGAGATATGATTCCTGTGCTCACTCTTTTTGAAGCTACCCTGTATGGTATTACAATGCACATATATAAATTGTATCCAATTTCACCTATGAGTTGGACTTTCAGTTTACACATACATTTCTGTCACTGAACCAAATATAATATATCATGTATCTCAATATTATACACAGTAATACACACATTTAACAATTTGCATTCAAAGTCATTGTAAATCATACACACAGAGCAATCTATTTTAAAATGTCAAACGTGGCAAGAAAATTATTTTATGGTTACAGTAAAACAAATCAAGTAGTTTAGGACAGCATACTAACCAATCAAACTATGCTAAATTACTACATAAAATGTTCATCAGTGTTCTAATAATGTGCAGCTACAAATTCAAAAGGCACAAAAACTGCTGTGTGTATCTTAACAACTTCCAGTGTTATTCTGTACCTCCAGCATTAAATGAACAGTGCAATTTGTAACTGCAGTGACTAAAATGTTCGTAACTGTTTACAAATAACTACTTGCAGTAATCTAATAAAGATGACTAAATAATACAACCACAGAATTATACTCAAGCTGGAATGGATGACACTAATTTTAAAACTTCAAGGAACTAAATTCATATTGCAGTTTCAGACCTGAACATTTCCAAAATGTATGCTGCTGTCAAAACATATGTTTGTGTTAAATCTTAACGCAGTCCATATTTTCACCAATCTCACACATACTACCAACACAAAACTTCCTTTAAATATTACATACACAATAGTAACACCACCTCCACGACATCTGTATGTGCGATAATACGCAATCACTTATTTTGGTGCAAGCAATGTTAATATTGAATTTGAGACTTTCGCAGTGAGTACAATCAATAAAATCTTCTCGGGCAAACAGCCGCGTCAACAAAACAGGCCCAACTGGTTTTGACCCTCCACTATCCCTTCCTTCTACAGCTATTAATTACCATCAAGTTGTTCAAAATTGTTGGCACAAAAAAGAAAGACATCAAAACAACCGTGCAAGCAACCAAATTCTTGGCAGAGGTGCCAGTCCTTCCAGAGGACCAAATTTAGTGTTACTGTAAAGAGCCTCACTTAACCTAAAAGAGCCACAAATGCAGATAACTTGCTAGATGGTTTGAAAGAAAACAAAGTTGAAAAATGCTGACACTGGTCTTCTGGGCCATAATGGCATGCATACGTATTGGTGTAGATTAGCTTCAGCCCTGGCCATGGAGATAGTATGTTCCTCCAAAACGTTATTTCCTAGAAATCCACATGGCATTACAACCCACAAGACCAAAATCAAACAGACAAGTGCTTCCAGTACACAACACATCAGACCCATGCCATACTGAGATTTCACTGTCATTATGTTTCTAAATGTATAGTAAAACATTACATTTATCATTATTCAGCCTTAAAAATAACATGTTAAAAAATATATAAACTGAAAAGTATAAAACCATTGTGCTGTTAGACAGCATCAGCTGAATAATTACACAGAATTGATCATGTGCTCAAATGTACCATGCAACAATTATAAAGTGATAAAATTTGAATGCATAGTAATTTATAACATTTCATTTTTTATTATATGTCACTTGAGTGCGGAAACTTTCCAGTTTCATTTAAACATCATTAACAAAATTTAAATGCAACAACAGAATATGAAACATTACTTTGTTCACTTAAGCAATGGAAATTCCATATCCAAACATAAATTATAAATCAGAAATAAAATATAAACTATTCAGTAACACATAACATTTCATAACATACATCACCAATTTTAAAAACAAAAACAACCTTATCACTAATTGTACTAAGCCCAAGAGTCATACCCAAATGCAAAATGTAGACATATCTTTTAGATGTGATTCAGATTAATGTAACAATTAAGAATAAAAAAGGAATAGTTTTTATAAAGAGGATGGGTTAGCCCACTGGAACACAAGACCCTTTAAAGTGGAATTAAATTCAAAAACAGATTATCTGTTACTGACATGACTATTTGTGATCTTATTAATTGTCTTGCAGACTAGTAAAGGCTTAGTTCCCTTAAAAAAATGAGACCCATTTATATATTGCATTATTTTCACATGCATGGATTCTGTCATTCAAATCGTGCTCACAGATTTTTTTTAAAATACTCCATTATATTTTATATCTCAAATACTACTTTACTGATAATCTAAAATTTCCCATATATTTGGTCTTAATGTGCACGTATATTTTAAATTTACATAAACACAAACTTTCAATAGTTGTAATAAAAGGGACATAATTATAGAATGACATCCTGAGGCATATTTTATGATACTTTTGTTTCAAAACTGAATACATACTTTGCATCAATAGCAATTTGAATATTTAGATTCTATCCTCAGACTAATAAATCAAAGGCTTGGATCATCTGACCACATAATTTTATAAGATGTGCAAATGTTTAATAAGGTTTCCCTTTTTCACATGTTTTGTTTTAATAAAAGTGGTAAGAGCCATAGCTGTGTGATCTGAAGACAAAAGTTTTATAAAGTTAAATATTTACAGTGAACATACTCCACATGCATTTAATAATGAAAATCATACAGAATTAAAATATACTGTGCTCCTGTGCTCCTAAGTCTCAAAACTGTCAACTTCTTCAGTCTTTTTCATTATATGTGACTGTGATTATATATGGAGGAATGTATAAATAGAATGTTAAAGTTGAATTTAAATTAGTCCAAGTGCTAAAAAAAATACACTAAATCAGCTGTAAAATATTTACCTGTTTCCAAATATGTGAATTCACTTATCCACGACTTACTTATTTTATGGTAATTATATCTTGTCATCATACACAGCAGAAGAAATCACCCAATCCACTACATTTTCTAAATTTAAAAATATGCAGTTGTGTACAGAATGGGGAAGTGTTCATTCATTATCAGAGATACAAAAGATCAAAACGATAAATGAATGCTCTCCCACTCTGTATATATATTACACACACAATCTCTAGTTTCCACAATGACCACTCCCAATGCAACATGACGATACACAGCACATTCCATTTTAATCAATATAATACAGTATAACTTGTTAACGGTATATCAACAGTGTGAAGTTAATTTAAACTGACAAAACAAATTAATTTTGTAGTAAAATGAAGAGTAGAAGGCAGAGGATAAGTTATCCCTGTGCTTAACCAGGAGGGTGAAAGGTAAAGCAACATGCTGTCTTGAAATCTATTCTTGATGACTGCCACATCTTTACTCCCATAACAGCACCCACAATAAAAAGGAGGCTGAGAAAAGATCCATTCTGGTTTGGCAATCACTAATACAAACAACACAGAAACTGAAAAGACTTGACACTGCTACTGTAGAGGACCTATACAGAGAGCAAATGAAGTGTCTGGAATGTTACAACAGTTACATGAAAGAATATTACAGATGTGTGTTTTAACCCTTTGAAGTAAGAAGTTCATATAGAGATGATTTGAAAAATCAGTCCGTACCTCAGGATGACCACGAGAAAAATTGTTACACCTGTGCTGCACAAGCGGTCAGAGTTTGGCAACTAAGACGCCATGCAAATAAATAAATTTAAGTACTCCTTTAGAAAAGGCGTTACATATATACTACGCAGAGTTTTCAGAACATGCATCTAAGACGACAATAATCTGTTGAATATCTGACCTTATAAAGCCTCTAAAGCCAAAGATTGTCTAAATAATATTTAAGAATTAAGTGCATACCACAAACAAAACAACACTTCATCACTGAAAACATCAGCTGGTTAATGCTGTTTAAGGAAATAACAGCTGTTTATTCTGAGAATCATATGAAACCCATAAATATAAAATAGTTATTCAGTGTTGAAGCAGGCAGGGCATATACTTACCACAGGCCTCTAACAGGTTAAAGAATGCATAAAAGAATGCCAAGTAACAGACTTTTGTCAAAGTACACAACTAACCCTTCCACTTTAACATTGGTTCTGAGAAAACTGTGTAATGTATACATAAGTGATAAAGAAAATTTAACGTCAGAATTATAATAAATACAAAGACCATTAAAAAAATCAAGTGGTGAGCACTTTTTTCAAAGTTGCAGTGCATCATGTCATGTTGCACAGTGGTGAACTAAACCAATCTAGCGCACAAACATACCGGTACATTTAACATGTGGACTGCTGCATGACAAAATGCTCATATGCAATGTCAGTCTTCATGGCCATATCTTGTTGAACACTTCCATAAAACTATCATAAAGCATGAAGGTGATCGCAACATCCAAGCACACACGACTCAGTCGAGGAACCGTGCCCTTGTAAAATCTGCAACATAATATTTACACATGGATTCAACACTTACACTTGGTACTGAGTTGCTTTCCCACAGACAATTCAGACCAGAGTTAAAAACTTTTTAATATATATCATAAATTTGAAGCAAAAATTTAATTTTATTTTGTCCCAAATTGGGAATGCTGACCAAACTCCTGTTTATTTTGAAATCTCTTCAAAAACTACTATAAATGTGAAGGGCGAAAAATCTATTTCTATAAGGATGGGGGGTAATGAAAAAATAAGATCTACAGTGATGTTGTGCATTATGGCAGACAGAAAAAAACTGTCCCCTTATGTAGTCTATACACATTTCTTTTGTACTTCTTCGAAAAATGGGGTGCGTCGCTTACACGGGTGTGTGGGGTACATGAGTATATATGGTAATTACATTATTAGATCTGGAAAAAGGTTAATTTTCTACTTACGCTGCAACTCCTTCATTTCTGAACACTTTTAGAGCACAATCTAAGGTATTCTTGTACTTTTTGGCTTCCAGGCCCTAAAACACAAATTTTGAACATGTGATATTATTATCAGTTACACAAATAGTAAAGGCATCATGGTTGTCTCGTAGGTTGTGATACCTTGTGCAGTTGTAAACAGATGCCAAAATTTCAGAGGTAAATATTGCCTCCATTTACATTGCTGAAGAGGAGACAGCATGTTCCTCTGAAATAATGATTTATACCCATCTTCAAGCCCAAAAGTTGTTACAACCCAACACAACACCATGGGCAACAATGATCTCTTTTGAAAAATAACTGACAGGAAGAAGCCAAGACATTTATGAAATTCCCTGTCAAATATAATTTACCCAACAGCATATCCCTGTTCTGTCATTCTTTCTACATAATCAAATTACTACAATTTATTTTCTATCCTCTATAACTGGAACTTCATGATAAAAAATTACTTCTTATGGCTATTAGACTAAACCTAATATTATAAATGAATTGATAAACAATTCTGTTTGGCTAAAACTTCTTGTAAAAATATCTCTGTTATTTCAAATTCAATAATTATACCTGCATCCTTGTTTTTACAACATCAACTGGTGTGTTGCCAAACACTGAACAGGCACCAGCAAAAGCACCAAATGCTCCAGTTACAACAGTAGGAATAGGTTTCTTGGGGTCACCCCCTCTGTACATATCCTTGCATGTTTCCATCACAAAGAAGCGGATAGCTTGATTGCTACCTTGCTTTAATATAGTAGCTGTTACCCCTTTGTACAGACCTCCAAAACCTGAGAATATAAACAGAAAACCATGCAAACTTATACTTCCACATACAACTGAGTTAAGAATTAATGTCGTCAATAATAATGGCATTTATGGGGAAAGAACCAACTAACTCTATGGAACAGAACCATTCTTGAGAAACTAAAAATCAATCAGGTAGTCAATGAATCCCCCTCCTTTTATGGAATCAAAAGGTTCATTACTGCATTCAGACCTGTTGCTAATGTTATCCTGAGACACATGAATCCTGTCCACATCCTCACACCTTATTTCTTTAACACGAAGTTTAATATTATTCTCCCATCTATGCCTAACTCTCCCAAGCAGTCCTTTCGCCTTCAATTTTCCTATTAGAACTCTGCATGTATTTCTCATCTCCCCACATGTGTTAATCCTCTTTCATTAGATCAGCCTGATACATTAGTAACAAGAGCAAATTATGAAGTTCAGAAAGAATTAAGCACAAGTAAATATGTGTAAGTAAAAGGTACATATAAAAACTCATTCTTGTGCAAAGTATCAATTCATGCAGATGTATTCAGGGACCTCAGTAAAATCAATCTGAGCTACTCAATCAAGTTAATAATTTTTCAATTAATGTGCAAACATCTGTACCTTCATTTTTAACAATTACTGAGCAACCATGGAAGAAACCCCGAAACTTTGGGTTTGGAGATCGCTGGTCATTGATGAACTTCACTTTGATTGTTTCCATAGGCGTAACAGCAAAAATAGCCTCACACACTCCGGCACCCAAACCACAGAGCATTCTGTCTACAGGACGCAAGTTTCCAATGTCATCCACTGCCAATTTCTTGAATGACTCAAATGCACCAAACCTAAAACAAAAGTAATAAGCTATATTAATATCTATCAGTGTGAATGTTTCAGAACAATAAAACAATAGTACCCTCATTCTGAGGTTATGTGGTCTCTTGAAAGTAGGTTTGAATACTACTAACAGTTTACTGGAACAACACAGCTTCACCAAAGACCTGCTAGCCATTCATTTCAAGCTCCTCAGTAACTGCAGCACATAGGGACTAAATCCACACTGCGTATTGCTCTAACAGCTTCCCTGTCTTAAATGTAGTCCCCATTTTATGATGTGGATGTGTGGTTGGGGGTTAGGAAGGAAGAAACTGAGCCACAAACACAAATTGGCTTGGCAATGAGTTTATGTTGTATGTTAATAAATACAAAGAACACAGCAGACACCAATATTTCTAATTTCAACCCAAATATGGTAGTTCAAAATCAATCCCACCAAGCAAGCTCAGTCAGTAAAGTGACTAGCAATGAACGACTGGTGTTCGATCCCTGACAGGGGCAGAGGATTTTTCCTCCAGACTGGTTCTGGGACACACCCATCCTCCCATCCAATGGATACCAGGTTCCTTTCCCAGGAGTAAAACATGGCCAGGGCGTGATGCTGACCTCTCACCCTCATCTAGTGCAGAGGTCAAGAATGAGTAAGAGCTATACCTCCTCTCCCCACAAGCAACCTACATGGCATGTAGCAAGATTGCTTTGCTTTACTTTACTAATGCATTCAGCACAAGCCTGAAATCCCATTATATTTATTTAATAAATAAATGGTACCTCACAGCTGATTTTGGTATGGAGCCATATATCAAGACACTAAGGCCTCTGTATAACCCAAACACACCATTTCTCTGGACAGTTTTCTTGACACAATCTATGATGCCCGAGTACTGCTTTGCAGCAGTGCCAGCTTTCTCATCTAATTGGAGTTGTGTCTTCACATATTCTGTTGGATATGTGATACATATTTCAATGCCTCCTGTGATTCCACCTGGTAAGGAAATTACAAAACATTTATAAAGGTAGGTAAAAAAATGATTTTACCGTAAGTGATAACAAAAGCCAATAATTTTACATTTGTACCAGTGTATCAGTCTATTATTCAAAACATGTTGGGTTTAAATTCAAACCAGTGACAATTATCTGAAAATAGAACAGGTCAGAAAACGTATGCATAGCATAATTCTGTTCACCAGAATATGGCCCTTGACCTTTGCAAATGTGGGAGTGATACATGTTCTGTTATAATCCCTTCTGCTCTGATTCACATTACTGTATAGCCAATTACATTAAAATATAAACTTTAATATTCCATATATACTTTAAAAATGCCTGGTAGTGTTAACTCATATTCTGTTTCTTGTGCTGCTCTCTTGCTATAAAACTAATGAAGATGATACTGGAAAAACATGGCAATTAACACTATGACCTTCACAGTTCCAATCATGCACCATTATGACTAAGCATTACTCGTGCTGTCACAATTCAAAAGACCTTGACAAGAAAGACAGCTTTCCTTATGTAACAAATTATACCACTTAGCAATTTATATAACTCTTCTATCACAACTGCCAAGTAAGCACAATGTAAGGTCTACAGACATAAATGACTATGTATTGAAGTATTTTATTACACCTACAGTCCTTTTACAGTTAAAAAAACCCATTCTTGTGAACATCAAACCTGAAGTTTGCAACAGAATAGCATTTATTTACATTCCACAAATCCTTCATAGACCCGAGCAAAGAACCCAGAACATGTCATAGTGCAAATGCAACATTTGTTTCTAATACAAACATAAATTACATATTAAGTTTAACAACCATAAAATTATCACATTTTAAAAATGAACATCCTCCTGAAACATGAGAATCATATCTTTATCCAGACGACATAAAAAACTGACACTAAAACTTCTTATTTGGAACGGCAAGAACCATTATGCACGGGCTTTCAATATTTCTTCTATTTTCTATGCAACTCCTAAGGTAGATAACTTTCCAACCGTCTTCATACGCAGACTTCTAACATACAATTTTACTACCGCCATCATTTCTATACGCCTAGTTGCATAAGTCGAATGTTTACTACAAAAGCAAACATTAAGTGAGGTACAGCTTTCCATCCATAAAAATAAATTACAAATGTTTCCAACCGTTTTCATACGCAGACTTCTAATACACAACTACTATTGTCACCGTTTCTATACGCCTAGTTGCAGAAGTCGAATGTTTACCACAAAAGCAAACATTAAGTGAGGCAGCGCTTTCCATTAATAAAGATAAATGACAAATGTTTTATAATTCTGATACGTAATTATTTACCGGCTATAATTCCTTTAATTCCCACCGAGCTTCCACCCGCTGCTGCTGCAGCGGCGCCCGTATTTTCCAGCCATGGTCGTGGAAAGGGATTCTTGAAGCTCGTGTTTCTTGAATCCATTATCTTCGTTGTTGAAAAATCGCAACTGCTAAAACTTTATACTGAGGTATTGGTCACTTACATAATACTTCCATATGGAATTAAAAAATAAAACTGTTATGACCAAAATAAGAAACAGCCAGCTTTTTTAACCATTCCACAAACACTCATCCCATGAAAAGATCACTACATACCACCAGGGACCTACAACGGAATTTGTTGCGGTGGGAGCGTGTATTACACAGCTGATCAGATTATTCTAACATTTGTTAACCCTTACAACACTTCTTTCACGTCATTCATTACGTTTATCTTTGAACACGACTGCGTACTTATCCCACGGATTGTGTACAGATGGCAGGAGCTTGTCTTCTCTCTGCCCAATCGTCAACAGGATAGCCACACAGTTTAAATTAAACTACCCCACACAGTTAATTCTTAAATAATATGCTTCAATATAACCATGTTTCTCTGTTACTCAACATTAGTCATCACAAAATAGGTTGTAGAAAGATTAGTTATTACTGAATCACTTTATCAACTCAGATTTTAGCGTTAATATGCAAGGAAAACATTTAACAATGAAGCAAATTTCATGCGTATGTTGGTATCATACATCCGGTACAGCAATGCCAATCGCATGTTGGTTACCAATAAAATTGCAAAACGAGATATTACTCTGATCATGAGCATGTTTTCTATTTGCTGGTATGTGGAATTACTTCAGAAAACCTACTCGATCGTTACACGTTAAATAACACACACCCCAACACTATAAATGACCGTTGTTCTTCAATTGCCATAAGCAGCAGCAAGTGATAATAATTTTTTAATCAAATTTGTCAGTATTCAAAAGATTTGTAACAAAAGTTATAAAAGTTTTACCTGTCTGTAAAATAAAACCATGCCATCTAAAGGTCTCTCCCCCATGGAATGAGTGAGTTAGTTACTTTGTTCCTAGATGCCAAGATAGTGCCCAAGAGATTCCAAATTGAGATATTTTACAGAGGAAAAAACAATAAGCAGGTTTACGAAATAAAAACTGACATGACAGATGGACAGGGACAATTCTGTGCTTTCCTTGAAAATCTGGTTAAAAATGTCATCTTTATATAAAGTAAATTATACAATTGCTATATAGTTTAAATCAATAATGTCCACAAAACAGAGATTACTTTAATGTGACACTCTTGTAGACCTTGAACAAAAACAAAATAATGCCATGTCACCTTACTTCACCAACCGGGTGTTGTATTTGCCAACCGACGCATCCGCCTGGAAAAAATCACATAATTTATATACAAAAATGCACTATTCGTTAACACAACACTGAAAAATTCACTGTTCAAAGAATATAAAAGCCATGTTAACACAATGAAAAAAGTTCTATGAAAAAACATATTGTACTTAATTAATGTAGTTATGCTTGCATGTACATAGCATCCCTATACTTATACAGAAGATGTGGCATTGTTAGGTATTCTCCAAAGATTTTTGCAACATGCTTATTAAAGATGGCTGTTTTCTAGGTTGTTGTACTGTATAGTTTGGCAGAAGTTTACCAATATTTCAGAGGTGATCACCCTGATGATGAAGACAGCAAGTATGTCTGAAACGGTGATAAACTTCTACCAGACTACATGGTGCAACAATCCAGAAGACAGCCATCTTCAGACTCACTGCTCTGAAAACCTCAAACCATGCTTATAACTGTGGCGACCTTTTTTTCAGATGATATTCAGTCATTACAGAACATGTTATATGAAAGAGAAAGAATGTATCACATCAACTTATGAGATACGAGGGTCGCTCATTAAGTAATGCCCCACATTTTTTTTCTCAGCCAATAATGAAGATAGAAAAGTGTACTTTTACATGCTTGAGATTTGATGTTTCCCGCGTTCGTGTACGGAGTTTCAAATGATTCCAACCGATAGCGGAGCTGTAGTGAACTGTTAAAATGGCGTCTGTGAACGACTCTCGTTACAAGCAACGAGCTGTAATTGAATTCCTTGTTGCTGAAAAAGAAACGGTGGTGAACATTCATAAACGTTTGTGTGCTGTGTATGGAAGCTGTGCAGTCGATAGGAGCACCGTTGGTCGCTGGGCTAAGAGAGTTAAAGCTTCAGGAAGTGAAGAAACCGAGCTCCGTGATCTGCCGCGCTCTGGGCGTCCTGCCACAGCCACCACTCCAGACATGTTGAACCGCGCGGATGCCATTATTCGTGAGGATCGGCGCATCACAACTCGACAATTGGCCCAACAGCTTTCAGTCAGCAATGGAAGTGTGATTGCAATTATCCAGGCTCTCGCATATTCGAAGGTGTGCGCAAGATGGGTTCCACGAAGTCTCACAGCAGACCACAGGATTCAAAGGAAAACGATTTCTTCTGAATTGTTGGAGCGTTTTGATGCTGAGGGAGAGGTCTTTCTGTCCCGGATCATTACAGGTGACGAAACCTGGATACACCACTTTGAGCCAGAGACAAAAAGGCAGTCAATGGAGTGGCATCATCCTCAATCACCGAGAAAGAAGAAATTCAAGACAACTCCCTCCGCCGGAAAAGTCATGATGACTGTCTTTTGGGACAGTGATGGGGTCATTCTTGTGGATGTGATGCCAAGAGGTGCGACCATCAATTCAGACGCGTACATCAGGACCCTGAAAACCCTCAAGAAGCGTTTTCGACGAGTTCGGCCTCACAAGCATCCAGCAGAAATTTTGCTCCTGCACGACAATGCACGCCCTCACACAAGTCTGAGAACCCGGGAAGAAATCACCAAATTGGGTTGGACGGTGCTACCCCATCCACCCTACAGTCCAGATCTGGCACCCTCCGACTTCCATCTCTTTGGGCCCCTTAAAGATGCTATCCGCGGAACAAGATTTGAAGATGACGAGAGCGTGATTCAAGCAGTGAGGACATGGCTACGGGGACAGGACAAGAGCTGGTACCGGCAAGGCATGCCTGCACTTGTTCCACGCTGGCGTAAAACCGTACCAGTTGATGGGGACTATGTGGAAAAATAGTATGTGTAAAGGAAACATTGATTTATATTGTCACTAAATTTGAGCCATCTTGAATAAATATGTTCTGAGGAAAAAAATGTGGGGCATTACTTAATGAGCGACCCTCGTAGAAACTAAAAACCATTCCACTCTTCTGTAAAACAACTATTTATATATTTACCATCACTGCCTGCTCTGCAAAATAAATTTCAATTAATAATTTAAAAAATGCAAATAACAAACCTTTTAGAGAATAGTACCTCGAAAGAACAGGTGATAAGCAAATACAGAGGTTCTCAGGCAGTGTATGGTCTGTGGCTAGCTAGCTTCATACAATGCACAACGGTTAAGATACTGATGCAGCCTGCAGATGCAGAGGATATCAGCAAAAACCTCAGCTACAAGAATCAATTCAGTCACAAACTCACTCTAGTTTAAGAACAGTAACATGTCTACCGATTTCACCGAGAGCCTACCTAGTGTTTCGATCCTGGTCACGAATCTTCTTTTCCATTTCAGCATCAGTTAGAGTCTCCAAGAATGGGGCCCACTGGTCAGCTTCAGAAGGAGGTCGAAAAGGAACTTCTACAGTGGGAAGAGGAGCTTCACTAAAAATGAAACAAAGTAGATTTATGCCTATCAATTCTGCTCCAGTGATTTAGTAACTGATATCTGCATCTATAACTGAAATTAAAAAATACATAAAAGAACATAAGCTCAGCATCCCAAACTTGTTTGCGAACAACACATAATTTATGTTCACAGGTTGAAGTATTATACTATGACATTAAATTGGTACACTAGCATCACCAATACATACAAAACATGATGTTCACTGTATCACCTCTGAAATAAAAAGGGCAATTAAAACATTTACACAATCCTTGATCCTTAAAAAATTGTATGAATATATATAATTTCAAGACAAATATTACATGCTGACTGTGGACTTCTGGGTTGTGATGCAGATGGTGAACAATATTTTGGAGGAATATATTGCCATGATTTGTAGAGCCGAAGACTGGACCCCAAATATGGAGAGAGTACATTTCTCCATGATACTTGTAACTACCCACAAAATTACATGGTGTCAAAACTTACAAGACCACAATTGTCATCTTCACCACTACAAGACCTCAAATCTCAGATACAAACATTACATACCTAAATGCATACGTTCTTTGATGCCAGCTAAGCTGTCCACGGATACTGTATGCAATTGCTGTAACAAACTCTCCTCCCAGACCCAGCTCGGCACACAACTTCATAGCAAAATGCTCAGGGTTATTGTCCTTTTCACTCATGTCCCACTCTACCTGATCCACTAAAGAAGTGTTGCCAACATGGATGTTTAACTACAAGAGAAAAGAAAGGTAGAAAACAAACTGACTATCTGAAATAACAATACATGCACATTAAAGCTTGAAGTACTTAAATTCAAAACAAATGTACTTTCTTGTTTATTTAATGATGCATAAGTTATACGTCAAAAGGCAAGGTGAGCATGAATAAGTTAATAAGGAAATAATTATTATACTATCGTAGACTTTTGCCTCACAGTAATAAAAAGAACAAGACTGAAAAGATGTACTTCATGGACTAAGCTGCATTCTATGCACACACTATTCAGTATTATCTTCTTAAACATAAAGAGGAACAGAAATTTATAATAAAATCAACGCTCCATTTGCTACCATTACTGTTTTCCTGCACTCACGCCATATCTATCATCTTAGATCTGATACATGTACACTCAAATGCACATAAACCCATGCAAGCACAATAATTCACTTTCTTCAGCAGAATAAAGAACGGATATTCTGCTGATGTTACCATGGCAGTATGACTCAGTACATGATTTTGCATAGCCAGGCCATGGGATTACTTCCCAGGATGTGAATTTTTTCAAATGAAACCCTGGTATATTGCTCATAACTTGCAAACTACAGAAAAAACAGTAATATAAAACCAATATTTGAGTTTGTTTATTGTTGCAAACCATCATGGGTAACAACCTCTATGGCTGTTAGGGAGGACATGCAGACAGATGGTGTGACAGAATGTACCCATAATGCGTTCTTCACTCTCACTACAGAGTAAAGAATACTTAAAAATTCTCACAGTAGCTGTCTCCAGACCTATACCCAGAACCTCCCAAACATGAAATTAGTACAACAAATGTAGTACACAGCTGTTCAGCAATCTGAATCCATAAGTATGCAGATCTCTCTCTGATTTAGTATAGGAATTTCTTGGCCAGCTGAGCAGCAATCAACTTCTCAATAAGGACTCTTCCACTGAGTTAGTTACCTTGATAATAACCCTTTGATCACAGTTCTCTTCAATAATACTGTCTGTTGGGAAACCATCAATCTGTTGACGAATGGCCTGAGCTATTGCAGGCACGAATGTCAAAGGGTTCAGGTCCAGGTCATCACACAGAACTTCAGCAAACTGCTCTGGTGTGATCAAACTTTCTAAAATAAGAAATAAAGTTACTGCTAGCTCATGCATTAAAGCCTTAGATGTAATGTTTGTTTATACTACCTCTAATTAAAGCCTTTTGTTTGACTACTCGTCAGGCATGTCAAAATCCGCTTACGTTAACACAGCACACATTGGGTCAAATTAAATTTATCCCTAATATCATAATTCTCAGAGAAGACTTACATTAAGTACTATTTCTTCCTTGCAGTATTGTATGAAAATGTCTCTATACTAAATCATTATAGTGCTTCTTTTAAACAACCAGTCACTAATTTTACATAATAACTGTTAATAATAAAGTGAATTATTGACAGACTGAGTATGAGGCACTTATTCGATGTTGCAGCCCAGTCACCAGCATACTCCACCAACGTGGAAGTCTCAACATTATGTACACAGTGACTGGCTGTAGCAATATTTTTTAAATTTGTTACAACTTTCATCTAACTGTAGCAGAGAATGAACTGGAAACCACAACACAGAATATTTTCTAATGCAAGGTAAAATACAAAACACAATCACTTTCATGCAACACAGAAGTAGTAAACAAAAGTGATAACTCTCTTCAGGCACACTGAGAGATGGCTTCATTTTTTTTATCTCACCATTTTTATTCCACGTGAAAGTATCACGCAACTTCTGCCCTTCAATTTCCATGTCCAGTCTAATTGGAACTAGCAGTTCAACCTGAGAAGCGTTCTCAACGATTGTTGAAGGATCTGTATCATCAAAACTGAAATGGCAGAATATAAAGAAATGGTTCCTTGATTAGAAAATTTAAAACTCAATAAAACAATGCAATTACTTCTTTGTCAAAACATTCAGAAACTCACAGTCCTCACAGAACATATAAATCAAACAACAACTGTTCAGTGATGTCTAAAAAAAACTAGTTTTGCCTCTTGCTTTGAAATGATTGAAACACTCCCCTCTGCGCAGTGAACTTGATATAATCCATTTTAAAAAGACTATAGAAAAAACAATGGAACTCTGAAACAACTGTGTCAAAATTTAATGTTAACAGTTCTGGTCAATGGGATATGGATACATATACTGTATACAGTTCCTGACATGAATATATCGTATTTACTCCTGTACCCACACACCTTTAATGGAAATAATTTACCCGTAAAATAGGATGCATGGCTTACACAAGTATGAGTCACCGCATATCTAATTGTATCTCTCTACCTGCTACTTGTCCTTTAAAAGTGGGGTTGACCATTACCTGCTTCAGTTATTAATTGAAAAATGAGTAGGAAGGGCACAAGATTAATACATTACCATAGTGGGAAAGTTCGAACTTTTTTGTTATTGACTCTGTTTCTGTTGATTGGTGTAGCTTGAGGAACAGCATCAAGATGAGAACTGTTGGGTAATGATGGCACCCACGGCATGCTCTTCTTTGACTTGCCTTCCCTATAAAAAATGTAAACAATAAGCTTAATACAAAACTAAGTAGAATTTGAGATTCTTACAGCAGTGAGTATGAAAATGGCTGCCTTCTGGGTTGTAACCATATTCAGAGCAATGATGGAGGCAGAAAGCACTTCTGAAACATCAGTAAACTTCTACCAGGCTACACAGCAATAGAAAACAACCATTTTCTTAACACAAAGCTGATCAGAAATTGAAGAAATGATTGCTATGGTCTTACTTTCTTTAAGTACCTTGGAATTGGAGGTTCTGATGAATGAACAGACACAGCTTTGTACTTTTCATCGTTGCCATCAATTATGTCCTCTACTTCAGAAGCTCTCAGAAGAGAAACACTTGATGCTAATACATGTTGGCTTAGGCCTGAAAAAGTGGAAATGTTATGATATTCATAAACAAAATAAATGTCATTATTCTAACAGGTGTGAGCCACGCTAGCACAGTAACTTCTGCCTTCTCAGTGGTGATACAGCTTAGCCATGAACCTCATACACAACTACTCCAAACTATGCTCTACATACATATATTAAATTGTGTACATATGCAGAAATCCAGGATAATGGTGAACTGAGAACAGAAGACCACACACTAAAATGAATGAGTTTGACTCACTGATCTTTACCAGGTTATCCTACCCTTTTAGTATTTTAACACAGTCTCAAACTAGCAGTCTGCATTAATCATATGAGCCTATACTAACCTAGTTCAACTAATTTCTTTCTTTCATCATTGGTGATGCTCCTGCGGTACATCCCAGGATACTTCTTGTAAAGGGACCCACGAAACAAGCGCAGGTAGTTTCCAACCTATAATTTAAGAAGATATCAGAAATTCTGTACATATGAAAGTTTCCTTTGTACAGTGTGTTGGCAGAAATGTTTACTACTTTCAAAAGCTCAGTTATCTCAATGGAAGTTATGCAATACCAAAAACATGTTCAAATAACAATGAAAAATTTATCAAATTCATAAAATATTTACAAAACTGGCTACCCTAACTATAAGCCTCTCCATAGTGGGAGATTATCTTTCTTTGAACTGGCACCTATGATGGAAAATTCTACTACCAACAAACATATGAGAGTAAGCATTAAGAACAGCAAAATATACCGCTATTAGGGCTACACCAAATAAACACGAATAAATATTGTACGGTAAAAGGTAAACACGGTTTAATGACATGTAATTAAAATTTATACACACACACATAACCAAGCAAACTGATGCGACATCTCGAAACTATTAATGAGTGTGTTAGGAACTTCATTTCTTTGTACTGCAAAAATAATACACCATTCTTTAAGTTATTAAACTTACCTCAGATCCAATACAATAGTATTCCCCATTTTCTTCGACTTGGAAACTAATTGGTTTATCTCCGTACGTTCTAAGAGCCATTTTTGTTCGTCAATGTCGCCAACATGTCTTGGTGTCACTGTCAAAATAAACATATATTTATCCCTTCCTAAATAAATTAAATGTAAGCATACCCGTACAATACATAACCAAACATTTATATAAGCTTTCAATTGTTATTTTAAAATAAAGCATCTAATTTCATTTTCTGAACGCCATAAGTAGAAGTTGCAGCAAGAAAGCAACGAAAGTGATGTTGGCAGGGATGAAAACCTGACCCAAACTTGACCCATGGGCCGGTGAGATCTCAGGTCCTCATGGCGGCGAGTATGAAAATGACAGTAGAATAGAATAGGATAGTATTCTAGCATTTATGTAGTCTGGTATCAGTGCTTCTCACTAGTGATGGAGACCGGAGGCGCTTCTGAAATATCAGCAAACATCTGTCAGGTAACATCGCAACATCCCAGAAAACAGTAATTTTCATAATCACGGCCAAGAGTACCTAAAATCTCTTCCAGACTTACTACTCTTCTAATTGTTGGTAATTATAAAGAACTGATTCCATACATCTGTAGAAAACAGAGACTGAGGGTGTTTAAGTATATGCAGGTTGCTGAGGAAAATATTTGGGTCTACAAGGACAAAACACAAGAGTGAAGAAAACTTTATAAAAAAGAGTTTCAAAGTCTACCCTCTTCGCCAGGTATATTAGGTTTCTTTATGTGCCTTAAGAAATATGTTATTGGCTTATTTTATGATATTGCAGTACTATGTACTTACATAAAATCTGAGAAAGAAAACACCAAGATTGCTAGAGTTACTAATCTGTGGCACACATGAATATAAGTGTTGCAAATGTGTTTTAATATGACAACATGATAATAAAACACATATCTTTCCATTTTAAATATGTATTTATTATTGAAGACTTGTAACAAAAGGAAGATATAAATATCATACAATACTTAAAAATATTTACATCATGCTTATAATACGTCTCAAGGAGCAAATACTGGAAAAGGCAGAATACAAAATAGACATTATTTCAGGTATTGTTATTACTATCAAGAGATTTGTTACATTATAGTTGTAGCACTGATGCTCTGAATGATGCCATGTTGGAAGGATACTTCAAATACATTACTTTCATATATACTATTTTCCAACACAAAATTTTTAAAAGTTCCTTTGAAATTAAGTTTCTAACATTAATAATTCCACAAATAAGTCTTGGAATGTTTCAGAAGTTTGTTGTGGAAAAATGCATGTGGCTTATACACAATGGTTTTACAAAAGGTGTCTTACAATATTAAACCTCACTCTTAACAACTTCATAGGGACTAAAGATATAACTGTCAGTAGACTAGGCATTAGTAAATATTTAACCTACTGTGACTTATCAGATGCCCAAACGATATTTTTTGTTGGTATACACTCCATTATGTTTTTACTTTAAAAATTAAAATTTGTTGTGACCATGACAGCAATTTGTTATGATCAGCCTATACTACATGAATACAGTATATTAACCAACAGCAGAGAAAAATCAATATTACAGCTCAATTTCACTTAACAGAACTGTTCTGTCTATAACAAATGGTGAGTTATTCCACATGATAGAACTGTTATGTCAAAAACAGACAAAGAACGTTGCCATTTGTTTCTCATTAGTTATTTTCTTATGGTTACATACAGCTTATGTCAAAAATTGTAGTGACTGAAAATGAATTTTGGTTAATTGAGATTTTTAAACACT